CTGCCTCTCATGGAGAGGGGAAGTCTTTGTGTGTGTTATAGCTCAGTTTATTAGTAGGAATTGCTTTAGGTCAGGAGTTGGAAATTTAAATCTCTGTTGGAACCTGGTCAGGAGCTGTATAAAAAGCACTTGAAATGAAATGGGAAATGGCAGAGGAAGATCTTCCAGTTTATAAAAAGAAACCAGAAATTGGGAATTTTACATGATGCCATGTAAATAATTTCTTAAAATACTTTATATAAACTAAATAAACCCAGGTCAATAGTTTTTGATTTCTGATTTGAACTAGCAACTTTAGATATACAAAGACTCAGAAAAGAGGCTTTCCTGCTCAGGGTAGGTTTAGTGGGATGGGAGAGATGTACCAGAAGAAAGAAGGTTTGTTGTTGTTAAGTGCCATCAATTGTTTCCGACTCATAGAGACCCTGTATAGGGTTTCTAAGGAGTGGCTGGGAAGTTTGAAACCCTTAGAAAGTTGTTGTTGTTGTTGTTATGTGCCATGGAGTCAGTTCCGACTCATAGCAACCCTGTACAGGGTTTCCGAGGCTGTAAATCTTTACAGGAGCAGAAAGCCTCATCTTTCTCCTGTGGAACAGCTGGTAGTTTCGAACTGCTGACCTTGCGGATCGCAGACCGATTCGTAACCACTACGCTAACAGAGCTCCTTAGGAGGTAGAATTTATAGCTTGTGAAAGAAACCCAAAAGAACATTCTTATTAGGCCTACTTTTCCTAAGGCCCTTTAGGGCTATCTCAGACTGACCCCTCATGCCCACACATTCACTTGTGTTTCCAGCTCCAGCACCTTTAGGCTATTGCCTCTGGAAATGTGAGAAACAAGACTATTGGCCTTTGTTATCTCTACCTATAAGGTCTTAGCAGGAAATATGTCTTCTTTGCAAGAGAGGAGTAGAGTTCAAGTAGGGTGATTCTATCAACCACCAGAGTACCTGGGAGATGCAAACAGTATGCTCAGCGACTAACCAAAAGGTTGGAAATTCAAGGCAACCCAGAGGCACCTCAAAAGAAAGACTTTCAAAAACAGAACCATTGGAAACACTATGGAGCACAGTTTTATTCTGACACACACGGGGTTGACATGAGCTGAAATTGGCTCAAGGGTAACTGGTTTTTTGTTGTTGTTGTTTGTTTTGTTTTTGTATGAACCATATAATTCAAGGCTTCCATTTTTTCCTCAGGAAAAGAACAAACATATCTGTATTGGAAGAAGTACAGAATACTCCTTAGAAACCAGGATCGAGAGACTTGATCTCGCATACGTTGGACATATTATCAGCAGGGACTAGTCCCTGGGGAAGGACATCATGCTTGGTAAAATGGAGTGTCAGCTAAAAAGAGGACGATCTCCAATGAGATGGATTGGCACAGCGGTAGCAGCAACGGGCTCAAGTGTAACAATGACTGTGAAGTTGGCACAGAACTGGACAGCATTTTGTTCGGTTGTACATACGGTCACTAAGAGTTGGAACCAACCCAACAGCACCTAACAACAACAGCAACTAGTGTGGTAGACTCTTTGTAAAAATGGTCTCGATGATTCATCCTATTATGGCATATGCACCCCTTGGCAATATGACTTTTTTCACTCCTCTCAGCAAGAAATGAAGAACATTTCTCTGTCCTTTAAATCTGTGCTTGATCATAAGACTTTAATTGGCCCATGTAACAGTAGAAAATGTGAAGCAGACAGAGACTGCCTCAGAACACTGAAACACAATTGGAAGAAGTCACATTCAACAGAAATCCAGCTATCCAAGTCATTCCTACAACCCCGTTGAGTTATCAGACTATCTGGCTCAGCTCCAACTGAGTCACCCAGACCAGAAGAACAACCCCACCAATGCACAGGATCATAAGAAATGATAAACTGCAGTTGTTTTAGACACCAAGTTTGAAATAGTCTGTTAAGCACCAAAAGTTAACTGGTAGAAACCACTGATAAAGAAGAGGATGCAGGATAGGGCAACTAACCATGACATCAACTCCTCAGAATGTTGATCTTTGACGACTTTGGATGCATAATCCTCACCTGAACACATAGCTGAAGTGCAGCCCTTCATAGAAGATTAAGTAACCACCGTATCTGTAGGAGGCAGAATTAGCAATAAATGATATGCACTGGGAAAAGCCAAAGCAGAAGCCATATACATTTGCCTTTCGAATGGCTGTCTTGTATGGTTTCTCCAGCTCAGTCTCATAGGCGTCAATAAACTGCCTCTCCTTTCCAATACCAGCAATTGTGCGGATGTTGCTGAGGGCTTCATTTGTAATCTAAAGAATGAAAAAGAATCTTAGAAATAAGAAGACAGAAAGGACTCCTTTCATGACATTTTAATTGCTACACTGGTTAGAATAGGACTAAATGGTAGAATGCAGTACAAATCAGAGATGGGTGCACCACATGGGAACACTAAAAAGTGGCCAAAGATCAACTCAATTGTACCACAAGACATTCTGTCAGTTAAATCCAAATTCTGTTTTATTCTTACTTGTCTTTGTTTTCTCCACTTGTGGTGAGAGTGAGAAGAAGAACATCAGTTCCTTCTGGTGTAGCATCAGTACATACAGTTCATGTATTCAGCTGCTAACTAGAAGGTTGGAGTTTGGAGTCCACTCAATAGGCACCTCAGTAGAAAGGTCTCGTGATCTACTCCTGAAAAATCAGCCATCGCAAACCCCATGACATACATGGGATTCAGAGTTATCTCAATGGCAATAAATACTGGATAGCTACACTTGAAAGCTTTTTAGTTTCTTTGTTGATTTATTTGCAATGTCAAAAAATGGTATCTAATTGATAAGATGTCTTCTGAGAGAAAAAAGATGGCTTGATATCAGATTCTATTAAAAATTAATTTGCTAAAATATTATATAAGGTGACTTGAAATTAAATATGAAATTTATCTGTTAGTCTACACTGTGAATTTGAGTTTCTTTGAATCCACATTGTAAGGATAATATGCTTTCTTTCCAAATTAGGATCCATCCCAAAAAGTGACAGAAAGGTAGGCATATACAATTCTTTTGGCTTCTTGCCTATTGTTAGTTGAAGTATACTTTAAAAGTGCATAGCTGAAACCTAGGAGTACCCAAGATTCAAACTGTAGCTTATGAATCTATTTGATAAAGACAACAAGCCTAGCAGACACTAACTCTTGAAAGTTAGGAGTATGTGTCACTAAAAGTGAACAGTTATTCTCTGTGAATGAATGTGGACAGCAGGATTCAGCTAAAATGGTAGGTTAAAAAAAACTAATGGAGTGAAAACTGAGCTATCCATTCTCACAGAAAGGATGTGGGAAAACAAGAAAATGATTTGAGGGGAAACATGAACATCTAACCCTCTTGTATTACCCCACTCTGGCACCAGAAATTGATTGTTTTGGGCCTTGGCACATATGAGAAGGGTAACAGGAGCTTTTGGACCAGTGAACATTTGTAGACTAACAGCTTCAAGTCGAACACTCTGACAGCCACTCCGCCTTGAGGAGTCTGGAGATTAGTCCTGTCAAATTACCTGTCCTGCAGTCTCTAGAGCTTGCTTGTCTCGCGTAGCAAATCCCGTCAACATTTTGGTCTGTATGACTCCTGATAAAGCCAGGAAGGGGAAGAAGCACATAATGACCAGGCTTAGTTTCCAGCTGTATAAGAAGGCAATGATCATGGCCACAGCGATGTTAGTGAAGGAATTGACGATCATCCCAATCTGAGAGCCAGCAGCCTGTAAACCAAAAACAATGAACTAATCTCAGACATCCAGACCCTTTAACCAATGAGAAGTACGTTTGCATGGATGCTTCAGTTCATAAGTACCATTATGTGAAAAGTCTATTTTATACCCAAAGATTTATTCTTTTAAAGGGTAACTCCCCTAAACTGGGTTGATTCAAAATCTGGATTAATAGAAGCCCATTTAATTCCCAACTTTCCAGAGATCATCTATTGACTAATCTCATTAAATGGGTGTCAGAGTTAGTCCAGCCTTTCAGGAGTCCTGGTGTGCCCCTCTGGGTTAATGAGCTGGACTGCAGGGTCAGTTTGAACAACAAGGTAGGTGGTTCAAACTCACCAGCCACTCCTCAGAAACCCTATATATGGTTGCTATGAGCTGGTTCCAACTGGACGACACTTAACAACAACAAAAAACATTTACTTTGAACTGCTAACTGCAAGGTCAGCTGTTTAAACTCACCAGATGCTCTTGGCAACCGTATACAGGGTTGCTAGGAGTAGGAACCAAAGCAACAGCACTCGATGGCAACAAAGGATTGACTGAGTCCTGGTGTGGCACTGTAGGATAAGCACTGGACTGGTAACTCCAAGGTCAGCAGTTCAAACCCAGCAGCCACTTTCAGAAACCCAATACAAGGTCACTATGAATTGGAAGTGACTCGACAACACTTAACAACAATAACAGAAAGCAATGGCTACGAACCGTGCTGGCACAGTGGGTTAAGTGTTGGGCTGTTAGTCAATAGGTCAATGCTTCAAACCCATCATTTGCTCAGCAGAAGAAAGATAAAGCTGTCTTCTTCTACAGATTTACAATCTTAAACTCGTAAAGTGCAGCTCTGCTCTATCCTGTTGTTAAGTGCCGTGAAGTTGGTTCTGACTCATAGAGACCCCATCTAGAATCTCAGAGGCGTTGCTGGTGAGTTTGAACCACTGACCTCGTGGTTCAAACTGACCTTGCGGTGCAGTGCATTATCCTGCAGTGCCATACCAGGACTCCCTACTCTATAATAGACCTTTGTTGTTGTCGTTGTTAAGTGTCATCAAGTCGGTTCTGACTCGTAGCAACCCTGATAGGGTTTCCGAGAAATAGCTGGTGGGTTTGAACTTCAACCTTGTAGTTCGAAGTCCAGTGCTGATCTTACACCACCATTAGGAATTCAATAGCAATATTATTTAAGAATAATCTTCATTTTATACTGCATTAAAGACTCCAATAGAGTATGAACTGTGAGCTACAAAGATTCCCATGCATTGGCACTAATTCTCTTGGAGACAGAAGTAAAAAGAATTTGTGGTTAACAAGGGTTATCTATCAGGCATTGAAAGGATACTTGAAAAGCACCTATACAATTTTTCTTTGGGATCTTATCACCTCACTAATTGTTGGTGGTGGTGTGGTGTGCCGTGGAGTCAGTTCCAACTCATAGCAACCCTGCATAGGGTTTCCAAGTCTGTAATCTTTATAGGCATAGAAAGCCTCATCTTTCTCCTGTGAATGGCTGGTAGCTTGAAACTGCTGACCTTGAGGTTAGCAGCCTGAGTTGTAACCACTACGTTCTCAGAGCTTCTTCGGAAAATGCAAATTAAAACAACGAGATACCGCTTTCCATTCTTCAATGAAACAAGAACTAATGTGAGTTTATATCTTCTGTATTAATGAGAATGGTAAGTAATTGACACTCAAGAAGAACTACATTGTGAGGAACTGTCTACAGCCAAAGTATGTCAAGGGACACTCGATTTCAAGGCTACTGACAAGGAGGGACAGACACTATCTTAGAGTATAAGCTGTGATTCAGACTTTTAGCTACCCAAACTCTGAGACAAGACATTCATGCTCTTTAAAGCACCCACTGGTAATGTCTTCTATTATAGCAGCACTAGGGAACTGAGACAAGGAGATATGATGAAAGGTATTGGGAGGCAAATTTGACTTCTGTCAAGTTAATCCAAACACCTGGCTTTATGAAAGTTACACACATCTTACACAAATCTGCAAGTCCCTTGGACAAGGCTGCAGGCTCTGTGGGTTAGAAACGACAGCGTTGTTTCTCTTGTCAGAAAGACAGCTAGCTCCCTGAAGGCTTTGAGATTCTCAACAACCATGTATGTTTTTCCCTCAACTTCCTTACTTGGCTCTTAGAAGTAGTGGTTAGGAGTCGGGCTGCCAACCACAAAGTCAGCAGTTCGAAACTACCAGTGGTTCCGCAGGAGAAAGATGAGGCTTTCTGCTCCCGTAAAGATTTACAGCCTCAGAAACCCTGTACAGAGTCGCTATGAGTCAGAACCAACGCCATGGCACATAACAATAACAACAACAACTCTGGGTACCAGATGGCTTTCTTGCCTTGGCGCTTTGTTTATACCCTCGTGAGGAATCTTTTGAGTCTGGTTGAACCTGAGCCTGTGGCCTCTAAATGATCTAAGAATGAGTCTGAGGAAAGTCCTTCTCAGACGCTAGACTCAGATTGATCAGTTTTGAAGCCTACCATTACACTGATCCTAGGCATTGCCTAAGAGACACTGTGTTTTAGCTGTAGTTTGTCAGCCTTGGAAATGGTGGAATATCCCACTACTCCCTATTCATGGGAAGCACAGAGGTGTTTGTCAGAATGTTCCAAGGAAAAAGTTTCTACTGCCATTAGTACTCCCCAACATCTCACCCATAGCTTACCCCTTGAACTTGGGAAGCATCTGTAGCCAGCCTTGTTGTCAGTGCTCCAGGGCTATTTCTGAGGTCATCAAACCAGCCAATATCTTGCCCTAATATTGCCTTAAAACCAAATTTGCGTAGTCTTTTTGTGAGGAGCTCTCCTGATTTTGCAAACATATATCCCTAAAATATTAAACAAAAAGAAGAAGTATCTTTAGTTACATTTTAACACGAAAGGGGGGAACTAGCTAAATTACCCACTTAAAAATAATGTTCTTACCTGCAGAAACTGGGTGAAAAGGGATATGACACCCAATGCTACGAAGAGGAAGCACACACCATTGAGCTGTGACCTTTGCTCCTCTTTATCAGGAATTGAAAAAGTCTTTGAAAGATAATAAACAAGAGAGAAAAAAAGTCATTATTATAAAGAATAGCAAACGAAACAAACAGGAATACGTTTAAAAGAAAGTTCTCTTACACAACCAGGTTGAAAATAGTTTCACTTTAAAAATCTAGTGATTAATCCAAAGTTCCACAAGCCACTGCCAGTGAGTCGATTCTGACTCAGAGACCCTCTGTAGGGTTTCTGAGAGTGTAAATGGGAGCAAGCAGCCTCATCTCTCTCCTGTGGAGGGATGGGTGAGTTGGAACCACTAACCTTGCAGTTAGCAGCTCCACGACTAACCCATTGACCAATATGATGAAGATGATAATGATATAGTTCACCTCTGTGGGTTCCAAAACCTGGCAAGTAAAAACTAACAGGAACAATTTATAGAATGTTGTCTTTGCCTGATTTAAGCAATTGCACTTGTCTTTATTATACAGATGACAAAAATGAAGAATTCCTTAAATTCTCTATGCAATGAATAAGAGAATAAAGGAAGGAAGGAAAAATGGAAAGGAGGGAAAGAAAGAGAAATATGTTTTCAAATCTGCTGTCCATTGGGGCAAAAACTCCAAGTATTAGGGCCTCTTTATTTCTCAAATGAGGGGTGCAAGAGAAATGATTTTCACATTAAGGTATTAGTTTTATAGATTTTATCTAGGACAAATAAGATCACCATTCAAAAAACAACTGCCTGTAATTGGTTTAGAAAAGAACATAGACACCAACCACATATCTGAGACTGAGGCTGCTGGCTCTCAATTACCGGAAGCTGAAAACATTTTCCCCCAAACTATGGAAGTTTTGAGTGGGCTTTTAAGTCTATGGTGGTGGTTATGTGTCGTGGAGTCGGTTCCAACTCATAGTGACCCTGTACAGGGTTTCCGAGGTTCTAAATCTTTACCGGAGCAGAAAGCCTCATCTTTCTCCCACGGAACAGCTGGTAGTTTCTAACTGCTGACCTTGCGGTTTGCAGCCCGATTTGTAATTACACTACCAGAGCTTCTTTTAAGTCTATACTAAGTAGTAAACTATGTTGTTGTTGGCAAGTGCTGCTGAGTTGGTTCCAACTCATAGCAACCCTGTATAGGGCTTCCAAGGAGTGGCTGCTGAGTTGGAACCACTAACCTTGCAGTTCAAACCGACCTATCTGAATGCTTATCCAACAACAGCGCTACACCAGGACTCTCATAAGTATATTCTGAACACACACAAATTTCGTACATTCAAGTAATTGATCGAGGATCAAGCTATTGCAATCTCCAAGTAGAAAGAACAGCCATATATTCCAATGCCAGGGCCCTACAGTGAATTTGATTCTAGGTACAACAAAACTTTTTTAATGCAGACTAAGTGAGAGTTCAGGAAAAATATGACTTAAGGAGTAAGTAATACAATAAATGAATTTGAGCAAATGGAGCAGTTGTTCAAAGGAAACTCATTTATTCAATGAATCTTTATTGAGTGGCAGCTATATGTTAAATAGTTCTCTTGAAAACAATGTACACTATTCCATTAACAGATCCTAAGTAACCTGTTCAAATAGTTGCAATTCCAAGGAAAACTTGACAATGAACACTGGTGAAGGTTGCACAATATGATTAACATAATTGGTGTCACCGAATTGTACATGTCAAAAGTGTTCAATTCACAAATGTTGTATAGTATATGTTTTTGCAGCAATAAAAAAAAAAATCACAATTCCAAATTGAAGAAAGAGGCATGGGGTCACCGCGAATTGGGGGCAACTGGACTAATGCAAGGTTGGTGGTTCAAACCCACCAGTTACTCCTCAGAAACTGTATCTAGAGTTGCTTTGAGTCGGAAGTGAATCGACAGCACTTAGCAACAACAAATTTAATATTAAGATATATTAATGTCTTATTGTGTACCAGATACCAATGAGTTGCTTAACCAATCTTATCTTGAATTAGGAGTTCCTTAAATTGTTGTTGTTGTTGTTGTTGTTGTTAGGTGCCATCAAGTTGGTACTGACTCATAGTGACCCTAGGTACAACAAAACGAAACACTGCCTGGTCCTAGACCAACCTCACAGTTGTTGCCATGCTTGAGCCCATTGATGCTGCCATATTGCCAATCCATCTAGCTGGGGTTCTTCCTTTTTATCTCTGACTCTCCACCTTACCAAACATGATATCCTTCTCCAGTGACTGGTCCCTCTTGACAATATGTCCGAAGTATGAGATATGATTCTCAAAATTCAGTGAGATCAATTTCATTACCCTATACTACAAGCTGTACAGTGAATAAGGAAGACCATAGAAGAATTGATGCTTTTGAGTTATGGTGTTGAAGGAGAATATTGAAAGTGCCTTGGGCTGCCAAAAGAACCAACAGATCTGTGTTGGAAGAAGTGCAGCCAGAGTCCTCCTTGGAGGCCAGGATGGCCAAATTTCGTCTCTCATACTTCAGACATGTTGTCAGGAGGGACCAGTTGCTGGTGAAGGACATCATGTTTGGTAAGGTGGAGGGTCAGAGAAAAAGAGGAAGACCCCCAATGAGATGGATTGGCCAAGTGGCAGCATCGATGGACTGAAGCGTGGCATCAGTATTGAGGTTGGCCCAGGATCAGGCAGTGTTTTGTTCTGCTGTGCATAAGGTCTCTATGAGTCGGTACCAACTGAATGGCACTTAACAACAACAACAACAGATGAGGAAACTAAATCTCTTGCCCAAATGCATGAAACTAATGCAGACCAGACACCTACTTAAGTCCACAGTTGACTGACTTGTCCTCACGTTTTTTCTTACAAGCAAATTGTGCTTTGAATACTTGGCACATTTTCCAAATCAAATAGACCCAAAGAAAGTGAGTCAGATAAAATGCCTCATGTGTATGTTGAGACTTAGCTACATTAGCAAGTAGGCTCCTGTTTACTTGGTCCAAGTTCAACACTGCAGTTTCAATAAACCAAACAGTGTTCCCTTTAGGTATGTTGGAATGAAAATAGTACAATAAAAACAGGGTATTAGCTGAATGATGATTATACCCTACCAGATGAAAGCATAATGAATTACTGATGAATCTGTGATAATTATACTGAGACAAACAGGAATAATCTTTATCAAAGAGGAAAAACAGTCAAGTTTGTTTAGCATCATTCTTGGTGAGAACTTGGATAATGAGAAGACTTTGGATTTCACTAACTAGTTCATTGTTACTCTGGTCCTGCAGCCCTTATATTGCTCAGACGAAGTCGTCTGTCCTAGGACACAAGAAGGTTCTCACCACCAGTAACCAAGTGGGTGCTCTAGGAGAGTTACAGGATGAATCATCCCACCTTTTCTGTAAGTTTTATGATTTGACTGTTTCCTAGCTCTCTAGAGCTGGAAGGTATCTTTGAGATCATCTTTGAGAAATTGAGGCCCAGAGAAGTGGCATGATTTGACCCTGGGGCACACAAAAAGGGGTCTGTCTTCTGACAGAGAACCCAGGACATTTTCCACAGCAACTCACATATAGAGTTTGGGTGAAGGTGAGTGATTATACTCTTCACTCTGCTTTTAAAGTTGACATCTGAGATTTATTTTAAAAGCCAATATGTGAGGCATATTCTTAGGTCTTTATAGATTCAACCTTGTTAACTACACCTTTTGTATCAACATTATCATACAAGGAGATGCATTCCCAAAGCCTCTTCTGTCCAGAATGTTAGTTTTATGAGAGCCTTGATTTTCTTGTTTCCCACTTTCTCCCCAAAACAGCAACAGTGCCTGGAAAATAATAAGCAACTGATGACTTTATTGGATGATGAGTGGATTTGTCTGTTGACTATCTGTCTTCCTTATAGATTGGAAACTCCATTAGGACGGGAGCAACCATTGGCATTATACTCCTGAGTTCCTAGCATGGTGACGGCCACATGAAAGGCGATAAAAAATATCTGTTGAATGAATCAAAGAATATCGTCCTGGTGTGGTGCTGTATGATAATCGCTGAACTGGATTAATTGCAAGGTTGGTGGTTCAAACCCAACTGCTGCTCCTCAGAAACCCTGTACAGGATCACCATGAGTCAGAGCCAACTCAGTGGTTCTTAACAACAACAAAAAACATGGTACTTACCAGGACCATAAAAGAAGATACAATAATTATTTGAAAGATGTTCAGTACAGAGGGCTTGTGACACCAAATAGCCAGAAATTCAATGAACTGAAGTTGATGGTCCCTATGTTTCCAGTAAGGAGCCCTGGTGGTACAGTGGCTAAGCACTCAGCTGTTAATTGACAAGTCAGTGGTTCCAACCTATCAGTCGCTTCATGGGAGAAAGAAGTGACAATCTGCTTCTGTAAAGACTTCCAATGCTGGAAATCCAATGTGACAGGGTCACTACGTGTCAGAATCAACCCAAAGGCTGTGAATCTGGTTTTAGAACTGAGCATGATTTCCTTACTTACCACAGGAGGGCAGTGTAAAAATTGTAAGCCTTTCCTTACACCACTGACTTGATTTAGTTTGAGTGAACATTTTTCTGTTCAGTACCTCTAGCAGAGATACGGCAAGGAGAGAAAAGTAGAGAGAAAAACGCACAAGTAAGACTTAATCATTTACTAAGCTCTGACAGTATGTGGTGTACTGGCAAATATTCTCGGTTAGACTTCAGGAAGGCTGGTGGTTTGCAATCAGCTGCTAACCTAAAATTGGCTGGTTTTAACCACAAGGACAGTGGTTCAATCTCACCAGCGACTACTTGGAAACCCTAAACTGGGATGCTATGAGTTGGAACTGACTTGAAGGCACTTGACAACGACAACAACAGTGGTTCCAAAGAAGAAATGCCTAAAGTACTGCTTCCCTAAGGATCACAGCCAGAAAACTCTGTGAAACAATTCTACTCTGTTGATGGGTCTGGTATATTTGGTTAGGACAAGCTAAATATAGTTCTCTAGTTTCTAGATGCCCTCACAAGTTACCTGCGTATACATATGAATTTCAGCTAAGAAAACATATAGAATTTGACAACTGTTATCGCAGGAGTTGACTCAATGGCACCTAACACCAACTGCAAATCTCAGGAGTCCTGGTGTGGCACTGTAGGACAAACACTGGATTGTTAACTGCAAAGCTGGTGGTTCAAAGCCACCAGCCCCTCCTCAGAAATCCAACACAGGGTTGCTGTGAGTCAGAACTGACTCCATGGCACTTAACAACAACAGCAATTGTAATTATAAGGTTCTACTCTCTAGTAGCGTAGTGGTTACAAATCGGGCTGCGAACCACAAGGTCAGCAGTTCGAAACCACCAGCTGTTCTGCGGGAGAAAGATGAGGCTTTCTGTTCCCGTAAGGATTTACAGCCTCAGAAACCCTGTACAGAGTCACTATGAGTCAGAACCAACTGCACGGCACATAACAACAACGACAACTTTCTAATTGGGTCAGAATGTCTGGATTTGAATCGCATTTCCACCACTTGCTGCCAGTGTGACTCTGAGTAAACTTTTTAAAGTTCTTTGTGTTTGGGTTTTCTTTGTTATAAAATGGGCATAATAAGAATACCTACTTCAGGTGGTTATTGGGAAAGTTGAATGAACTATTATGGCATTTGGCAACAATATTGTAGGTAAAGTGCTTATACACCAAAAAAACAAACAAACCAAATACACTGTCTTCAAGTTGCCTCTGACTCACAGCAATCCTAGTGTATAGAGTAGAAGTGCCTCATGGGGTTTTCAAGGCTGGAAGTCTTTACAGAAGCTGACTGCTATAGCTTTCTCCCATGGAGCAGCTGGTAGGTTCAAACCACTGACCTTCAGATCAGCAGTCGAGTACATAATCACTGCACCACCAGGGTTCTTTAAGTGCTTATATAAATCCACTGTTGTGGAGGGGATTCTGATTCACAGCGACCCTATAAAGTAGAGTAGAACTGCCCCACAGGGATTCTGAGGCTGTCATTTTCTGGAAACAAACAGCCTTATCTTTGCTCCACTGAATGGCTGTGGGATTGAACCTTCAACCTTCCAGCAGCAGCCCAACGCTTAGTCCACTGTACCACCAAGGCACTTAGGGCTTACATGTCGCTGTTGTTAAGTACCATGGATTCCAACTCATAGTGATCTTATATAAGGTTTCCAAGAAGTGTCTGGTGCGTTTGAGCTGCCAACCTTATGGTTAGCAGTTGAATGCTGATCCTACAGCACCACACCAGGGGCTATATAGTGTTTAATAAATGTAGCTCTGGTAGCATAGTGGTTACGAATTGGGCTGCTAACCTCAAGGTCAGCAGTTTGAAACTGCCAGCTGTTCTGCAGGAGATGCTTTCTGCTCCTATAAAGATTTATAGCCTTGGAAACCCTGTACAGGGTCGTTATGAGTTGGAACTGACTCCACAGCACATAACCACCACCACCAATAAATGTAGCTGTTATTATAATACAGCAGTAAAATCAGACAGTGACTATCAAAACTTTTGCTGTTATAAGGTACTGTAGGGTTGATTTTCTTCTGCTCATAGCTGTCCCATGTGACTGAATAGAATTACCCATAGGTCTTTCTAGGCTATAATTTTTATGGGAATAGATAGTCAATGTTTTCCCCTGCAGAAACACTGGATGAATTCGAACTCCCAACATTTCAGTTAGCAGCCAAGCGTTTAACCATTGCATCTCCAGCAGGCCTATCAAAACTCCTAGGAAGTAAAAAATTGCTTCTTCTTTATCCATGCCTTTGTCTACTTCTCTCTTCCTTTTCCTTCCTCCCCATCACCTCCCCATTTCAATCTTACAATCAGTGGGAAAGGGGAGAATTGTACACCACACACTGACACCTGCTATTATAAGGCAAACTTTGTACTTTCGCTGCTTAGCAAGATCAAAATGGCCCTAAAATCATTTTGCATTCTTCAGCACAATTGCTTTGCATGCTGATTGGGTTTGCATATTGGTAAATTACCCCTTCCAGTTATAGGTGTGCAATTGCAGCATCGTTTTCCTACGGTCATGAGGACTCTGCCCGTGCCCTGCCAGCCCAAAAGAGTGCTCAGTTTTACTTTATTAACCTTCTGTGTGATAGAGGCCTGAGGTATGTTTAATCCTTTAGAAATGAGAAAGAACTAACTTTAAAACAAAAAAGTCTCTCTATCACAGATTATAACATCCATGGACAGAAAAGAAAAAGAAAAAGGAATAAAGCTAGTTCAGCTGCTTACTTACCCCAAGAATCTCACTGAATAAGAAGGCGTAGAGGGGTGTGACTACCCCATTGACAGCTGCCCCCACAGTCCCCGCCAGCATGTATGGCCACTCTGGAGCATTGAACTTCAGAATCCTCCTGACCGGGGCAGGTTCAACTTTCTCTTCTACAGAAATGTCTGTGGCCTTGGGGAGACAGAAGGCTCTATGAATCATTCAGATGTGTACCCAGATACTTTGCACATACTCTTGTGTTACACAGCTGACCCTCTGACATTCACAGACTGAAGAGCCATGCTATGACCTCAAAGATGAGACACAATGACCTCTTACTGTGCACAGATGGGTTTTGAACCGGAAGTGAACTCAGTCTACAGCACTAGTGATCTGAAGGTGAAGCTATAGTTCTCATTTCACAATTACATATGTGTAAACTTTCAGGGAGTAACGAATATCTCTGGGAAGAAGAACTCTCCAGTACAAAAGAAGACCTGTGCCTTAGTGGTGAGAACTGACACTTTTCAAGATGTGTCTGTCACAAATGGCAAAGGTCTACAATCTAGTAACTAGATGAGGATCTAAGGCAGGCCAGTATGTCAGAAACAGGACTAAACTCTTTAAAAATTTATAATGTGCTGTCAATACCATTCACACATCTTCAGCAAAGTTTTCAATAATTTCAATAAAATGACAATCCACTTAGATTTCTAAATAGACATTTCTTAACAAGGAGCAAATTAGCCAATATTTTCCTATTCTAATTCTGCAATTATCATAAAAAGTGCCAGAAGCTAGCAAATTTTTATCCTCTCAAAGGTAAATATTACGTAATGACCCTCATCATATTTGTCATCACTTTTCTTCTTGCTGTACATATTAACTGGTACTCGGTCTTCAGATCCTAGATTTATTACCCACTTTGTTTGTGAAAGGATTTTAGGTATTGATTGCTACTGAAGTTTTTTGCTTCCATTAAAACATGCTAAAATATCTGTAGTAAATTAACTACAAATCTATTAGTGTTCTCTTTCATAATTTACCCTTTTTTTGGTTGTTGTTAGGTGTTATCAAGTC